AAGGGCTTGGAACATGATCAAATCAAGCACTATAACCAAAGCATGGAAAAAACTTTTCCCTGGTAATGAAGAACATTCAGGCATGAAGATTGATGAAGGGGCCATTTTAGCAGCTAACTTAGCAACAGTTTTACAGAATACAGAAGACTGTGAACATGTGGATATTGAGAGTATCAATCAGTGGTTTGATTCTCGGAGTAATGACTTGAGCTGCCAGGTCCTTACTCACTGTGATGTTCCTCAGGGCCAAGCCAAGACTACTGAGCAAAGGCTTTCTCATAAAACTCGAAAAGCAGACCTGAATCCAGAGAAGCACATTAGCCATAAAGCTGCACTGGAGTGGACTGAGAACTTGCTGAATTATCTAGAACAACAAGATGACATGCTGCTGTCGGATAAGTTGGTATTACGGAGGCTGCGGACCATAATAAGAAGAAAACAGAAGATCCAAAATAAATGTCATTTGTAGTGCTTTTAAGTGTTGCAGTTGTATTTCCATCTTTGGGACTGTCTGCAGTAGAAATTACCTGGGTTGAAATGCTATGGATCCCAAAGCCCAATGCATTTTATAAATGATTTGAAAGTTAGATGCCATTTTAGATTCCTTAAATTACAGTTCTTGAATGTGGACTCTAGGAATTGAGTGTTGACATGTACCTTGTCTATCTGCTGTTTCTCCTCTGTACTATACTAACTAGATCAGAAGATAACTGAGGTCAGGGAACCTGTGTCTGTTCTGTGCCTGAATTTCAGTGAGTCTAATAAAGGGCCGTGCACACGATAGGCACTCAATAAATCTTATTTAAATGAAATTCTTATGACTCTGAATTTCAGTCTCTAAATTGGCTTATTTTAGAATCAGTTTCCATTTCTGCTACTGAAAATGGAAGAGCTTTGTGAAGATTGTACATTGGAGGGGCAGTAGTGAAAAGCCTTTCTGTAGCATTTCTAGACTAGCAGACCTCAAGCAGCTATTCGAATTTTCCACTTACAATGTCATCTGAAAGTCAGGTCAAAATGGCCCCAGGGAAAGGGTGTCCACTTCCATTGCACCTAGCAGGGAGAGTTCCTGCACCATTGTGGAAAGGATGCCAGCCTTGCACCAGGAGAATAAAGTCCAGTTTCTAAACCACTGTGATTGGAAGAGGTAAGGGTTAAACCTTATTGTCTGTCACATTGAGTTTTCACAGGTGCTTAGGTTTTCTTCTTTAGTGCTGTGTTCAACATTAACATGTGGAGGCTTGCATAGTGGGTCACCATTGAACTTGGGGGAGCAGCATGTGAGCAGGGGACCTACTCTAGGCAGATCATGAGAGGCGCCAGAAGATCCAAGGGTGCTGTGTGACCATGGCAAGCTACCAAGGCTCCGTTTGTGAAACAGGAATAATTCCTACCCGAGGGCATGTGAGGAATTAATGACTTCATGCACAAATCTTAAGTAATAGGGATGGGATCTTGGTACAGAATCACTCTGTGAGTGCTAGCTCCTGGCACTGGTACTGCATGAGGAAACTACTTCCTCAGGAATTGAGATAGAGAAATAGAAATAATTTGTTTCAGCTAAAATGGAATACTTTTTTTTCAGTGAAAACTGAAAAGTCGAGTTTATAAACTTTGTTGATCATCTGATGGAGCAATGAGTTGTGCAGGCATGTATAAAACATGGTTAATGATAAGAGGAAAGAAAATGGGAATGGAATAATAATTTCATTGCTGCAGGCTGTTAGTACATTGCTAATAGACTAGTTAGCTTTGTTCATAGAAAAAATGCTATATGAGTATTGGCATAGCCCATTGAAACAATATGATTCCATCAAAGTAGATAATAGGACACTTGGGATGTTTTTGCCAAACTACAGTAACACAATTAGAGCAAAAGAAATGTCACAGACTGGTTGTATACTAATTAGGCCCAGCCATTGGTAGCTGAGCCTAAACCATTGTGGGCTTGATGTGTCACAGTTCTTTCTTTCATGAGGCTACCATGAACTTAGAATTCTGACTTTCAGTGTGAGGGTTTGGGATCTGAATGTCTTCTACAAAACTAGGGATTCATTTTCTTTGGGAGAAGTCATACATCATTAACACACCTTCCTCAAACTACAGTTTCATCTGCTAGACAGACTTGTGGAGATGTGAGTGCACAGGTAAGTCTTGAGGCCCATTGATTTTTCTCTTAGAGACCAAGAAAGGCTGAAGCCTGTCTTTGAATCCTTTTTTGTATTTTTCAGTGTTTTTTTTAACTAATGAAAGCTACTCAGACTTCTTCAATTGGGACATTAAAATGGTTTAATCTTGTCTTATTCATAGACACTAAAACAGTGTGTCCTAATTCCATAATTCATTGCAGTACCAACACATCCAACTTCCAGAAATGAATAAACCTGGAAAAACAATACTGTGTGAAGTAGGCCAGGCCCAGAAAGACAAAGGGCACATGTTTTCTTTCACATGTGGATGTTACACCTAAAATATAAAAATATGTAATCGCACGCAAGGCCATGTGCATATAGTTGTATATGTGTGTATATATTCATATATGTATGTATATATGAATATATACACACACATCCATATACACATATGACCAAAATCAATGAAGTATATGCAGGAGTGAGTCCATGGTGTAAACCTTTGAACGGTGAACAGTTTTGGGAAGCTGAAATGTCTTGACTAGTTTGGTGGGAGTTAAAGGAAGGGAGAAGGACAAATGGAGAGAAGAAAAGTGGGCAGATGCAGTTACTCAGAGTACATGCATGAAAATGTAACTAGGAGACGAGGCGATAGGGAAGGAAAGAGATGGGATGTACAGGCAAAGGATGCACAGGGAGGCTGATTAAGGTACTTTGTCCATAATAGGTGCTAACTGAAATTACTTTGTGCAACTACTTCAAAATAATAGTAAAAAAACTTCCCTTTTAGATAATGTATTACATTGGATGGTCTAGAAAGACATAGTTATTTTGGTAAACAGGAATAGGTACACTTTATTTTGCCCACTTTAAAGAAAATGTACAAATTTGACTCTTCCTGAAAGTGCATATTTTTTAGGAGACTTGAAAGATAAAACCTAGGCAAATCAAAAATGCTTGGCTCTTAACAGCTTTTCATTGTAAATTGAATTGTGGGAATATTTACTGTTGTATAATTCAATCTCACAGTAATGCAGTGGTTGATTGGAAAAGTTTGGATGCTTGAGAAATACAATCAAATGGGCTGGGCCCAGATTGGTAAGGACAATCAATTCAAGTAGAATTAGAGGATTGTAATAGTTATTGTCCTGAAGACTATAATGACTATTGTTTTGTAATTCCTCTTGCTTTCAGTCTACTTCAGGCTCAGCTGTGCAGTCTGCTGAATGTTCAACCTACACCCCATTCCTTATGTGTTTGGGGTTTTATGGAGAGTCCATCTTATAGATAGGACTGGTTAAATCATTGGCCATTGGTCAATAGCTCAGTCTCCAGCCCCTGCCTCCTCCCTGGAGGTTGGGAAGTTGGGCTGAAAGTTCTAAGTTTCTAATCACCAAGGCTTAGTCTTTCATGAGCAGGTAAACCCCTACTTCCTGTGATTGCAAAGACTTCCTCTTTTGGTACTAGTGAGAGAAGTCAGTTCCACTTCTGATCCTTAGCTCTCCAAACTTGATTCCTCTTTCTGCATCAGTGGATCTGTCAACTATTTCAAAGAGGATGAAGAGTATTTCCCCTTCATTCCAGTTAATTCACCCAATCCTGGGTTGAGAAATGCAGTGGTTGCTGCAGTCACCACATCAGAGCAGGGACTCCTTCAAGGAAGTAGATGTGCCGTGATCTGGCTCTCCCAGATCTGACTACTAGCTTGTTCTCATCACAGATCCTGTTCGAAACTCTGAAAATAGATTTGGTTCTAAAACATCTTGTTTAGTTTAGAATGTTCTTGTTAGCCAATAGGAATTCTCCCTCACGGTCCTTCTGCTGCTGTTTTAACCTTCCCCTCTTCTGTGTTTCCAGTTTTTTTCTTCTGTTATCTTTTATTGGGTCCTTTGTTCCTTTTAGCCGATACTTAGTTAAAGACCTACAGTCTATCCCAACAAATTTGAACTTGAAAACAGAAATTCTGTATCCAACCACTGATCACACACATAAGCACATTAAATACTGAGTATCTGAAAGGAACAGTACCATATTAAGTGCAATGTACACGATTAAGGTAAAAGTTTTATCTTCAAGGATTTTACAAAAAGGAATGGAAGACAAGCCTCTGCACAAATAATTACAATGAAAAGCTACAAAACATTATTTAATAAAAGTCAGAGATGGGAGAAAAAAAATCTAGAAAGATATCACAGAAATCAGGGGGGAAAATGCCCTTCAAGGAAAACAAAAATTGGATACACAAGCAGGAACAAACCTGAAATGAGTCAGTTGTGTTTGGCAATAAAAAGTCACTGAGTCCCCAGGATGGGTTAGATTCCCCACATGGCTGAGAATAATTCAAAATACTAGATAAAATCTAAGGAAACCCTATCTTTTCAATGCATTTCCCCCAAACTGCGCAGATAAAAAGAATGACAAGGGAGCTTACTTGCTGCTTATATAAACACAGAAGCAGACCCTGTGCTGTCTGTTGCCCGCACAGGAGGCTGGGAGATTCCCTTTCCATAAATGGAATTTGTGAAAAAAAATTCAGCAAGCTTTCGCATATACTTGGGATATTTGCACATCTCGGCCATTTCTTTCAATAAAACTTTGTCTGCATTTAAAACAACCATCAAATCAAATGAGAACCATGGCTTTTGCATGGAAGGTACCTACTGGATTCTGGCATGGTCAGATTCTAGTTTGCTGTTTGAGGAGGAACAGGATCTCAGGTGAGTCCTTATAGAAAATCCTCAAAGTTGGGAGCTTGGAAGACAGACTGTAGGTGAAAGGGAATTGGAAGGAATTCCCAGCAGTCCAGGAGGGCTGATAAGAAACCATTCTTGTCTTGGTCTTGTCTTCCATGGGGAGAAATCAAAACATCTTTCTTGGGACACCTGCCCCTCACATGGACTTGCCACGTGATTTTAGTCTCTGCGTTGTCCCAGATGATCCAGCTGAAGGCTGCCTTCTAAGCAGTTGTGCTTGCAGGAGGCTGTTAGGAGTAAACACAAATCTTCACTGAAGGAACACAACTTCAACACGGGCCTCCAGGAATTTCCATGGACAAGTCCCAAAGAACCAGAGTGCACAGACGCAGCAGAAGGCAGCGTCTCACCCTCTTCAGTGAATGTGAAAACAGCCAAGTTCAAGTGAAGAGCCACTTGGCGATATGAGCAAGGGGTAAGAGACTTGGAAAACAAACCATCACGATCATGCACGTTTTGTATATTATTCATTGTATTTTATTGGAAAATAAGGTTTTATGCTTGGAGGACATCTTGAATCTATCTTAGGTAAGATGAAACATAGGATAGTGAATGGTACTGCGGCCTTTGTCAGGGCAGCCTCCTAGAGCGTAGGGTCAGTCAGTCAAAGGTCATGCTTTTCACCAGGTGCTGGAGACAGATCTGAGGTTCATGGTTCAAAGCCAGCCCAGGCAGGAAAGTCCATAAGACTTTATCTTCAATAAATTACCAAAAAAGCTGGAAATGGAACGGTGGCTCAAGTGGTAGACTGCTAGCCTTGAGCCAGAGTTGCTCAGGGATAGCACCCAGGCCAGGCAAAAACAAAATCAAAAAAGGTCATTCTTTTCTATGTGAGCATAATCTGCAATTTGTCAATATTAAGTATGGACTAGAGGGTGTAATTTAGTGGGGGAGCACCTGCTGGGCAAGCATGAGGCTTGGCGTCAGTCTCTGCGATGAATAATAATAGTAATAATAATAATATATATCAATACCAGAAAGCGGGAATGCTCAGTAGAAGATGATGGAAACAGAAGAATGTTAGGTGCAGGCTACATCTAGAAGCTTTTGGTGGTGACAAGAGACCCAGTGATTTGGAAAAACTAGGAATTCATTCTTTCATCATTGTGGCGTTGGACTCCTGGATACCAATTCTGTTTTTCTCTCTGACTAAAAGGAAACAGATGGAGAGGAAGGATGATAATGGAGCGAAAGAGAGCAGGAATCAGAACAAGGTTGGGGTTGAAGAAGAGAGAGGTTACACCCACTGCCTATACTAAGCTGCCCATCTCTATATGGGACATTTATAGCAATCAAAAGATAAAATGAGCTGGGCGCTGGTGGCTCATCTTCTAATCCTAGCTGCTTAGGAGGCTGAGATCTGAGAATCACAGTTCAAAGCCAACCCGGGCAGGGAAGACTGAGATTCTTATCTTCAATAAACCACCAGAAAACCGGAAGTGGTGCTGTGGCTCAAGTGGTAGAGTGCTCACCTTGAGCTGAAGAGCTGAGGGACAGTGTCCAGGCCCAATGACTGACAAATAAATAAAATGAGTAAAATGATGAGGAACATGTGATGTATATTTCAGAGTTAACATTGTACTATCATCTAATTTTTTTCCACTGAATCATAAATTAGATTTAAAAAAAATTTAAAAAATGCTGCTGGGCTCCAGTGGCTCATGACTGCAATCCTAGCTGAGATCTGAGGATCATGGTTCAAAGCCAGCCTAGGCAGAAAAGTTCATGAGACTCTTATCTCCGGTTAACCACCAGAAAACCAGAAGTAGAGCTGTGGTTCAAAGTGGTAAAGCACTAGCCTTGAGTGAAAAAGCTCAAGGACAGTGCCCAGGCCCTGGAAATTCAAGCTGCATGACCTACAAAACCAAAAACCAAAAAACAGTAACAAGTAGGATCTGAACCTAACCAAGAATGACAAAATTCCATTCTTCCAACCTTAAAAACGTTGCCATCTCTTAAAAGGAAATGGTCTAAAGTAGGACATTGAACTGTCATCTTGAGTTACTTTTCTTTCTTTTTCAGTAAACATTGTTTAGGCCTCTGTCCCTTCCTTCCTTAGAAAAATGTGATGATGAGGTTGATGACCTGCACTCATTCTAGTTCCTAAAATAACAACTAAGAGTGCCTATTGCAAGCTTTTCCTTTCTGCCATTGGTGGTAAAGGAGTTAAGGACGGGTCTCTCGGGCGGCTGAATTGGGATGTCTGTTTTTTATTGTCATCATATGAAGAACTAGAACCTCTGAAAGGACCATTTATCCTGTATTTGCCTACTCACAGAAAGCCATAAAGGTTCCTTACATACCAAGACTGGGAACCAGCCCTGACCACCAGTGACAGGTAATTGGGGCCATAACAAACCCACATTAACAAACTCAAGTATTCTTTTTCTTCCAGTAGAAAAATACACCTCCCCTCCACCAATCTCTCTTACATACCTGGAATTTATTACATTAGTTCACACATGCATTTGTCATTATTGCTTCACTAACATATTAGTGTCTAAAGAAGTATTTCAGTGTCACACTTTGGTTATTTCCTTGAACTTTATTCTTGTGATAATTTTCCCCTGTCTGTGTAGTAAAATTAATACAGCTCCTGTGGTTTGCTGATGCATTATGTACAAAAGAGTCATGAAGCCATCTATAGACTTAATTATAGGAAATAGTATCACTAATGCATTTGGGATTCTTGGTCCAATTTGGGATTTACCCTTTATGTTAGCTAAAAAAATTAATGTGGTAGACATCAGTACCAAGGTTTTTAATGTCTTAGTGTATGTAGATAGGTGTGTGTGTACAATATATATATATATATATATATATATATATGTAGTATATATAGTATATATGTGTATACACACACATACACATATATCTGTATATATGTGTATGTATACACATACATGCATATGTGTATATGTGTATACATTCACATATATAGTTTATAATGGCCAAATTGGAAGCTATTTTGGGGGAAGGAGGGCACTGTGGTTTGAACTCAGCGCCTTGTGCTTGCTTAGGCAGGTCAGGTGCTCTTCCACTGAACTGTTCTTCCAGTATGATTTTTTTTTTTTTTGCACTGGTTATTTTTAAAATAGGGTCCTGCGTTCTGCCTGATACATTCATACATATCTGAATCTTAATTTATTTTAGGCTTCTTGTAGCTGGGACAATTAGTAAATACTACCATGCCCAGTTTCTTCGGTTGAGATGGAGTAATGTGGACTTTTCTGCCTAGGCTGGCCTTGAACTTCAGTCCTCCTGATACGAGCCTCCCACATAGCTAGGATTACAGGTACCAGCCACCACACCCAACCCAACTGGAGATTTTAAGCTCAGCCATAGCTTAGCCGGATCCTACCTTACATCTTCAGATTACTTAAATTAGCCTGTAGTTGGGCAAAACCTTTAACACTGAGTTGAATGTCTCATGGGATTCATTAAATAATGTATTAAAAGTATAAACTGGAAGGACTTCATAGGTACTTAGTGTTAACATGGTTGATGAACATTACTCTGGTTAGTGTACATTGTAGTTCTTACTGAATAAATACAGCTTCCGAGCCATCACAAAGCCAGAAATTATGGTGAACCATTGTAACTTGGGGCCATCTGTGTTTTGTTACTGTGCCTCTAAAAAACTAACAGTTTTCATAGACCTGTCCACTTTCTGATACTCTTCTTCACCTCTAACTACAGAGGAGGCTCAAATGAATCAGTCCATTTCTTCTTCCTTGAGAATTATATGCTCAGGATTTGAAGTTCCTAATTTGTAGGTAAAAGGAAATGAAGTTAATTTTTGATCAGTGAGTGAGAAACTGGCTGGTAAATGAATTACCAATGTCAACCATGTGGTTGGTCCTGGATTTTGTCTATCTTGTTTGTTTGTGTACTGGGGCTTAAACTCAGGGTCTCGGTGTTGCCCCTGAGCCTTTTCAGTTCAAGGTTGGCCTTTTGTTACTTAAGCCAAAGCTCTACTTTTCTCTCTCTCTTTTTTTTTTTTTTTGCTGGCTAACTGGAGATGAAGCATCTTACAGACTTTTCAGTCTGGGCTGGCTTTGAATGGTGGTCTTCAGATGTCAACCTCCTGAGCAGCTAGGATTACAGGCCTGAGCCACCAGCACCTGACGTGGAGTTTCAGAATTTTATCTCTGTGTATATGCTTTTCAATGATTGTTAATACCCTAAAAAAAATAAAGACCATGCTCTCCTCCAAAACAATCTATGTCTTTAATTCCTACAGAGCCCATGGACATGGTTGATTGAGAATTCTAGACAGCACCAGGAGTTCAGCTGTATTATTTCTCAGAAGAGGAAACTGAGGTCAAGAGAGATGACATCAGGACGCCTTGCTCTCCTGATGCACAGGCTGAAGATGGCGCTGGTGAAGGCCTGCCTGCCCCTCAGGACGAGGGACCGAGACATATTCTAAATCACACCTGAAAGATCAGTCTCGATGGATCGTTTCTATATCCTCAGAGCCTGCAGCAAGCACAGGAGCCTTCAGAAGATCACTGATAACGTGCAGTTTCTTTGGGGAGAATGCTTGCTTAGTAGGAAAGTGGAAGGCGGGGGAGGCAGGCAGGCTTCCCTGCTAAGGCCACATGTCCAGTGGACCCGTGGACCCGGCCTTCCTCTGGCCTTCGTCGTCCTTCTGGGGGCGGGGTGTTAAGTCACGAGGGGTGTTTCTAAATCAGGCATAAGCAGAGGTCAGTCCTGAGTTTCAGAAGGACAAGGACGTTTTTATTACATCCTGGAATCCTACGATAGCCCACTTCGGAAGGGCAGAGTGCGAGGGTCATGAGAAAGGCCAACACACCAAAATAAAGCCGACTCAAAATAACCAGCAAGATGTTTTTCAAAGATAAAAGGCATAAATATCCGCAATAAGTGGCTGGTAGGAGTCTGTTAGCCTAGCATCGCTTGCAGAGTTAACATAGTGGTTAATAGTTTAATTAAAAATCCATTTAGGGATTTCCATCTCCAAATAATACTTGCTTCAAGTCATAATGTTAAATTTATGAAGAGGAAAATGTTTTTCAAAGGGTCCAAAGTCCCAGACAGAGGGAGCTAACTTTTGAGATTTATTGTAAAATGTATTTACTAATGCAATGTAATGCGCTAAGAGAGTGGATTTAAAGTGTTAATACCATAAAAAGGGGATACAAGCTATTTGGGGGTGATGGATAGCTTTGGTTTATTCATTCAAATGCAATACATGTATTAAAATATCAAAATATTACATTGTGTTCTAGAACTATGTACCAGTCTTATTTGCCCACTTAAAACACTTACTCTCTTCTACAAATCATGATAAACACTTCACAACGTGGTCTTTATTTATTTGTGACAGTACCAGGGTTTGAACCCAGAGTCTTGAACTTGCTAGGCAAAAGCATGCTATTACTTGAGCCATGGCGCTAACCTATTTTACATTCATTATGTTTGAGTTTCTGTCAGGTCGGCCATGATCCTTGATCTACACTTCTCATGTGGCTGGCATGTCAGTCTTGTACCACTACTACATGCTGGGCTTTCGTATCGGCTGACTTAAGGGACTCAGTAGTTTTTGCTTGGGCTGGGCCTGCCCCTCAATTCACCTGATCTTAGCAGCTGGGCCTACAGGGGTGAGCCACAATGTTGTCTTCGTAATGCCACAAAACTAGAAGAAATTACAATTTACACCCTGATTATTGTACATCAAATGAAAATAAAGCTTAGAGAGTTTACTAACCTGCCTAATGTTTGCTAGCAAATTGTTAGCCCAAGATTTAGAGTTGATACGCGTCACTTTGGTGAGAGTTGCCATTCCTAATATCATCATGGGGCTGATGGAATTCTGGCTGGACGCTGTGGGCTAAGCCTCTGGCTCACTTTTATCTGGGACCCTAGGGATTTGATCCGCTCATTTCTATTCTTCCAGCGGGCCCCCCAGGGCTTGTGCCCTAGAACTGCTCTGCTAGAATTTTGGGGTTTGATTTCATTTCCTATCCATTCCTCCTTTGCCTATTTCTGGCTAAACAACAACAAAACACACTCCAGATTTTCAATGAGGCTCTCTCTAACAACGTCCAGCTATAGTATAATACTTATTGTGCAGGTCTTCTGCGTCTGTGGCTTGTAATCCTGTCTACTCAGGAGGCTGAGATCTGAGGATCATGGTTCAAAGCCAGCCCAGCCAGAAAAGGCTGTGGAACAATATTAATTATTTCCTTTTCGCACACGAGCCAAATCAAGCCCATCATGATCTTAATCACAGAAAATCCTAGTGTTAGGTCATCAACCTAGAGGATCAGAAATGGTCGAGAGCATTCGAATTGTTAGATTCTCAGGCTTCATCTGTCTATCTAGTACCATAGAAAAGGATAGTGGGTCATTTCCACCCCCCCCCCCCCCCAAAGACAATACATTTAAAGAAAATAATCCACCAAAGTTTGATAAAACTTATCACATGCTAGACCAGCAATGGTGAGAAAAGTGGGATTTCTGACAACGAGAGCTGTCCAGTCTTATGGATGAGCAGGTATCTCGAGCACCCAGCACCTGCTCCTCACTGGCTGATGTGAAGCAGCAGCCGCCAGACCGGCCCCGCCCACCCCAGGATCCTTCCTCAGCCACTGCAGCTCAGGGGCGGGGCTCTGTCACCACCGACCACAGCTTCTGCAGATCCCTGGAGCCTTCACACGCAGAACTGACATGGTTTCAGTCTATGCTTCAGGGGCCCACCCCAAGCATGTGAGTTCTAGCCTGTTCTCTTCTCCTTGCCCTCTAGCTGCCAGTCTTGTGGGCTTTAAACTCCTGCCACAGTCAGGAGGATTGCTTCCCCTTCCCCACCCAGTTGCTTAAAACCAAATCCCTGCAACGAAGCTCTGGTGTTACAAATCATCTAATGAGGCTCTTTCTTCCAGAGAAGTCTGGTGCAAAGAGGACTAGGAACTGAAAGGGCCCAGGGTCTTAACTGACCGTGGCTGGAAGTTCTCACTTCTGCAACTAGAAAAAAATCATTTTAAATGATTGTCTAGGCTTCTTGAAGGGGATGGGCACTGATAGACTAGACGCATAGTCACTACATGGGATTCACATAATATTCACAGGAGGGGAATTTATGCTTAGTTATTCAAAGATACACTACTCAAAGAACATTTCTGTGGATTCATAGGGTCTTCATGAGGATGTGGTTTGGAAAACTTACACACACACACACACACACACACACACACACACACACACACACACACAATATTCCAGGAGTGGTGAATTTGCAGTCTCTAGATCTCAGAGGTTCAAGGATAGAACTCAATTGGTGCATGAACTTTGACAAGGGAATGACAGTTTTCCTACTAACCTCTAGCAGTGATTTATCATTTCCTCCAATTAGTCAACAAGCCGCATGGTATTGCAACATGACATCCATTTTTCATAGTATTGCTATTGTAGATGTCTAGAGGAAGCTTACACTATTTATTCAAAATCATTGTAGTTATTAGACTAACCATTAGATTTTGTTACCTATGTATTAACTATATATCTTATTCTAACACATACTTGACACAAATTGGATAATTGGATTTCAATTTTCTTTCTAACCTTAGTATTTTATTTTGTGCATCTGAAAACAATAAAAGAGGTCCGTCAGTTGCCAAAGAGTACCACCAGCACAAAAAGATAAAGACCACCCCACCTTCTGCAAGGACAAAATGTCTCCCTTCTTTGCATTGTTTTTTGATTAGTATTCTAGAGGTAAATAATGGAAAATAAATAGTGCATACAAGCCATGTCCACAAGGTGGCAGCACTTCATTGTTTAATTTGCAAACATCAACTTCATTCCCAGTTACATCTGAATCCAATGTAAACAGGAAGCTATACAATGCAACACACTTTCTGGAAAATAGATTGTGGTACTTGCCTTCTAAGTTGGTAGTAAAAGGCTCTTTTTCTGAGTGTGAGAGAGAAAAAGAAGAGGAAGAGGAGGAGGAAGAAGGGGAGGATGGGTGTCAGGGGCTAGGACCAAGAACTAAGCTCCAAGAGTACTCCCAAGGCCTTACTCTCTCATTCACTAGGTCCTGCACACTAAGTTTCCATCACCTCCCAATAACCCATCAAATTATGAACCCATCTATCTTATAGCTGAGAGCTGAGCCTTCACTTCCCCAAACAGGCCTTTGGGAGTCATTCCAGATAGAAACCACACTCAATGACATTATTATGCAGCATTATTTGTAAGATAGGTAACAATCACAAATAATTATTTATTTCTAGCTATGTACAAACTCACAAAATGTATCCGTGACCTAGCACTCTACTGCACTATCACTTTGGCATAACTGATGTTACTTAAGTGTTTCTAGCTACTTAATAAATCTAGTTTAGACTGTAGGTATAGGAAGTCAGGGTGGAATAAAGAAATTGGGTTGGAATGGATTTACAAAGTGCTCCCGCTATTAATTCTACTCGAAGGGTGACAGAACAACTTGATGATGGTTAATTCTCCTGAAATTGGCTCAATGATTTGTGTGAATTTATTGGGTAATAGAAAAGAGAGGAAATCTTCTCTGATCAAGTGCCAGGATGTATGGGTTCGTATTCTTCTTTCTCTCTACGCCTTATCATCTTGAGTAAGTTATTTCCATGCTCATGGTCATTTTACTGATTCATTAGACTAAAGAAGACTACAAGTTCCTTAGAAGAAAGACTAAAACATACCCAGCTGTTCATGCGATTTATTGTCAGCCTCTAGAGGGCAGCATAGTGCAATTAGCAGCTCAGCACGCCCAGTTTGATTTCTAAACTTATGCTGGAGACAAATAAATCTTAAATCCTCATACGTTAACAGCAAGAGTAAACCATTGTTCTTGGCTACATAAGAAACAAACAAACTGCCTATGCCAAGTCTTTCTAAATAAATTCCAACCTAGTCACATAAGCCACCCACTCAGATGACATAAAAAAAGAGTCTTTATATTTAGACATACCCTCAATTCACCAAACACCTAGAAAAATCCATTTTGAGAAACGCCCAAGTGACAGCAATCCTTTCCTTCATTTCCCCCGTCTTTTCTTTCCTCCTATTTATGCCTAGGTTTTTTGTTTTGTTGGTTATGGGGCTAGAACTCAGGGTCTGAGTGCTGCCCCTAAACTCTTTCGCTCAAGGCTAGCACTCTATCCCTTTGAGCTACAGCTCCACTTCTGGATTTTGGGTGGTTAGTTGGAGATAAGAGTCTCCTGAGGACTTTTCTGCTTGGGCTGGCTTTGAACCACAATCCTCAGATATCAGCCTCCTGAGTAGCTAGGATTACAGGTGTGAGCCACCCACTTGTATAAAGGAGTTTTGAGAACATATTTACTGTGGCGGCTCCCTGGAAGCATGGAACAAGGATGGGGGGACTTTCATGGTGCTCCTTCTGTATAATGGAATCAGAAGCCTAATGTTCCCCAGTCATAGCTACAGGGAATTGAATGAGATCGTAGCAACAATATGAATCGAACCACAAAGTCCAAGATTCCCACAGAAATTCGGTTTCACAGGGTTGTTTCCTAGCTTCAGAAGGCAAGCTCTTTGATTATAAAGCAACAACAACAACAAAGCCCCTAACAGAGGCTTAAACAAATGAAACTGAAGCCAGGCATGGTGACACATCCCTGCAGTCCTGGGGAGGATCATAGTTTGAGGCCAGCTCAGGCAAAAAGTTCAAGAGATCCTTCTGCACTGTGTCTGTCACCCCAGTTTCAAAGGAGGCTGAAATGGACAGTGGTTCCAGGACATCTCAGGGCATGAAAGTTAACAAGACTAAGCTAATGGAGGAAGCAGGGCAGGGGGGAAGCGTGCCTGCCATCAGCCCCTCTGGGGGGAGTATAAAGTAGGAGGATTGCAGTCGAGGTGCATACCTTGGTAAAAAGCAAGTCCCTAGCTGGGTGCTGGTGGCTCACGCCCGTAATCCTAGCTACTGTTCGAAGCCAGCCCAGACAGGAAAGTCTGTGAGACTCTTATCTCCAATTAATGGCAGAAAAAGTCTGAGGTAGAGCTATGGCTCAAGTGGTAGAGTGGTAGTCTTAAGCAAAAGGAGAGTAGGGGTGGTGCCCAAGCCCAGAGTTCAAGGAAGACCCTGACTCAGTCAGTGCCCAAAAGGGCTGGAGCGGGGCTGGGAATGAGGAATGATTTGATCTGATTTGATTTCTCAGTACTACACTAAAAAAAAACCCCAAAACTAAACACCCCCAAATCTTCCCTTCAAAAAGGGCT